GAAGAAAGAAAAAAGAAAGAAAGAAAGAAAGAAAGAAAGAAGAAAAAAAAGGAAGGAAGGAAGGAAGGAAGGAAGGAAGGAAGGAAGGAAGGAAGGAAGGAAGGAAGGAAGGAAGGAAGGAAAGATTAGTGGAAAAGGATTTATTAATCACTTACAATGTGCCAAGCACTGTGCTAAGTGCTGGGAATAAAAAGAGCAAAAGAGTCCCTGCCCTCAAGTTAAGAAAGGAAGAAAGTGTTTGTTTTTGTTTTTAAATCTTGGCTTAGGATAATGCTGTAATTTTAAATTATCCAAATCAACCAGGCCACTTGGGAGGATAAAAGCTCTTCTGAAAAAGAAACCTTGTTAAGCATCATTTATGTAACTGTTCTCAGCAGAATTCTTGGGGCCTGAGGGCCACTAGAGAAACATAGAACCAGAGTCAACATTGGAAGGGATCTTAGCGATAATCTAATTCAACCTTTCACTTTGCAGCTGAGAAAACTGACACCCAGAGAATAGAAATTGATCACCTCTAGGTTGCACTGGTAGTCTAATGGCGGGATCCAGATTTGGACCGCCACATTTGGTCTTCTTTCCACCATACCACACTGCCTGATTAATAAGTCTAACAAGTAACTTGTTGATAATTTCCACTTTTCCCCCACCCCATCCATCAGATGATAAACTACATAAGTACATATTTAGTTTCCTTCTACTATTATCCTACACTCATGCTTCACAATTACATGGAGGTGATTCTAGATTCTCAAAATCTATGCCAGGGAAGTTGTAATAGAGTGAATGGCACAAAGGAAATCATAGGACCTGAATTCAAAACTTGCCTCTATCAGCTGTATGACCTTGGACAATAACTCCCATTTCTGTGAGAAAGGTGCTATTATTTATCACTGTTTTATAAAGGAGGAGACTTAGATTGAGAAAAGTTAAGTGACTTGCTCAGTGTCACTCAGCAAGTGAATGAGGCAAGATTTGAACTTGGATTTTCCTAACTCCTAGTCCAGCATTTCATCCTTTCAGGGCCTCAGTTGCTTCACTTATAAAACATGGAGGTTGGGCTTTATGTCCTCTCAAGCACCTTCTGTCTCTAAATCTATGACTCCAGGATCTACCAGCAAATAGGAAACTCTTAGGTGCTGATTGACTGTCTATCACTCATCTAAGGATCGGGCTGGCTAAGCAGGGAAAGACTCATCACCAGCTTGGAGATGAGCCGGCAGGCAATGATGCCTGCCATAGTCAACACAACTCATGAAAACTGTCTGCTGATATAGTCAAGGAAGTATTAAAGCATAATAATTAATACAATAATGCTATAACTATGTCAGACCGGAGGGATCTATTCACTACTATTTCACAGGAATAATCTCAAATCTGAAATAATTTTAATATTTTCATTAATTTTCTTTTAAAAAGTAGTAGTATGCTCACCAAGACTCTGTTTCTATAAGCCCACAACAACCAGATGAAAAACAGAAAATACAATAATCTAGGTTTATGTGTGTGTATACATGTGTGTAAAACACTTATTTTTCTACCAGCCTGTCTCTAGTAACACTAATGTATCATGAGAACATCTTTGTTGTGTTCTACAGTCTTAGGTGTCCTTATCCTTGTCTGCTATTCTTTGACCTGGGCCAACAGATCAAGGCAATAGTGTCTCTGGAGAGAAGAAAGGGAACAATAGAATATACATCTTCAATGTGGGTCTGATAAATAGGGGAGGCCTCTGCACTGGGATGTGTCTGGGCTGAGAGATGTAGCACGGACTGGTATATGGTTAGAGATATATAGGATCTATCAAAAGGTAGGTGTAGAATATAAGAAACGTAGAACATAAGAAATGACCCTACTGCATTTATTTACTGGACATACCTAGCTTTGCTGCCCATATTTTGAAGGCGGGAAATCACAGGTTTGTAGAAGATCTGAAAAGTGATGAAAAAATATAAAGGTGGAACCTATCAGAAAAAGACTGAAGCAGTTGGGATTATTTAGTCTGAAGAAGAGAAAAATAAGGTACAATTTTAAAACATATTCAAGTATATGAATAGTTGCTATGGGGAGAAAGTGAGCCAATTCTGCTCCATCTTTAAGGCAGTTATTGGTGTTCAGTTGTTTTGGGTCACCTCTGACTCTGAAGTGCTTTGCCATTTCCTTCTCCAGCTCATGTTACAGATGAGAAAACTGAGGCAAATAAGATTAAGTGACTTGTCCAAAATCAAGTCACTTAAGTCAGACAGCTAGAAAGTGTCTGGGGCCTGATTTGAACTCAAGAAAATGAGTCTTCCTGACTCCAGAATTCCACTGTAACAAGAGATAGTTGGATTAGGTATAAGAAATATTTCTTGACATTCATGGTATGTGTGGAATCTTGGTTGTCAGAGATATTTGGTTAGAGAAACATGTGTATTAGACGAGGTAGGTTTAGTGCAAATGACTGTAAAAAATTCATTCCAGGTCTCCGATTCTATCTGTCCTAATGGGTTTCCAGCCTGCGGCTATTAGTCTTTTTACAGAACCAAGTCAAAATCCCCTCATCTATGAAATCTTTGTAAGGACAACAAAATTATGCCCTTTAAAGAATTACATTAAAGTCCATTTCTATTTCTTAAAATATTCTACTTGTGATTGCTCATTCAAACAATTCACAGGAAAATCTGCTTCTAAGGGAGACGTTTTCTTTTCATTGCACAAGAAAGCTAGTTTACCACTGGAGTATGTCCACTAATGTTTTTATTTCTTAGGATTATGAAAATAATATAATTTGAAGACTATTTGTTTCGAGGAAAAAAATAACGAATGATGAAGACATTGAGTCAACCTTAAGGATAGACCCTCTCCTCCAGTTCTCTCATTTTATATATATGTGTGTATATACACATACCTATATATCTATATATCTATATCTATATCTATATATATGTATGTATATATACACATTTCAAAATTTCAGAGAACTTTAAGACAATTGTAGTTTTAATTAAATTTAAATGGGAAAGAAAACCCTTTAGATCATTGCTTTACAATTGATGCTGAGATTTTCAGGGTAGGAGGGAAGCAAATAAAATCTTCTGAAATAAAGTCTGAGGTTTTTTTATATAGTTTTCATTCGTAGAGTGTTTTCTATAGTCAATGAGGCTAATAGAATATGATAAGGTGATACTAGCCATAGATATTTTGCTCCAAAATAAAAAAAAAATGTCCAAACTTTCTTTCCTTAAAATCACTTACTTTGAAATTTTACCACGTGAAATAGAAATCACTGGCCTGTCGAAAGAAATACATGCGTTAGTTCAGGGCTTACTGCCCTTTTTAGCCTAAGTGTACCTAATTTGGTCACATCAGAAATAGTAGAGCTCTGAAGTTACATATAAAAAAATCATGTAATATATTAACAGAAACCGCCCAATGTCACTTATTCCCTTGAGCTCCACATTTTACTCTTGGGACGCCTACAGTACATGATCATCATATTCTTCAAGTGCAGAATATTTGTTTACTGACTTTCCGACAAAAGCAAACACTTTTGTGCTAGATTGTAAACTATGCCCGAAGGAAGCCTAAGGGCTTGACCAAGTAAATTATGATTAATTTTCCATCAAAGGCTGTTTTCCAGGTAGCCTCAAACAGCAGAAGGGTTTTTGGTAGTTTTAAGTCCTGAATTAGCTCTCTTGGTAAGTCCAGCCTAGAAATTTGATCATTTTCGAGGGCCCAGGCATAGTAAATAGACATGAAAATTGTTATTGTTGCTGTGGTGGTGATGATGGTGGTGGTGGTGGTGGTGGTGGTGGTGATGGTAGTGGTGTGTGTGTGTGTGTGTGTGTGTGTGTGTGTGTGTGTGTGTGTGTGTGTTTTCAGGAGCTAGGGCTGGGCCAAATCAACTTATTGGGTTTCAACATCAAACACTAAGGTCAAAGGTGCTACCTTTAAAACTCTCTAAACAAAACCAAACTAATCGTTTAGTAATTTAAATATTAAATTAAATAATTTTAAAATTTTAGTGGTAAATTCATTATCCTCTTCTATGATATAAAGGTTTTTTTGGGGGGGTGCTTTTGTTTTGGTCTAGACTCAGGATGTCATCTGTAGGAAATTCCCAGTGTGGAAACTGCCTTCACCAATTCCGATTGATAACTAAGTTAGAATCTTAGAAAGTTGCCTACAGCCATGGTCACACAGATGCTAGTACATGTCAGTGGCAAAATGTGAATTGAGGTCTTCCTAAATTCAAAACCAACTCTCCCATATTACCTCTCTTGTCCTAAGTGTTCTCATGGAATATATTAATTCACTGTTTTAAAAATGAGTCGGGGGGCAGCTAGATGGTGCAGTGGATAGAGCACTGGCCCTGAAGTCAGGAGGACCTGAGTTCAAATCTGACCTCAGACCAAACATTTGACACTTACTAGCTATGTGACCCTGGGCAAGTCACTTAACCCCAATTGCCTAAAAAAAAATGGGTCAGAACTTCAAATTTAAAAAAACAACTTCCAAATGTTGCAAAGCTTTGTTTGGCATGCTACTTTTCTTTGCATTAAGAAGTCTCTTAAACTTCATGTTTTCAAATTAAGTGTCTGAAAGATAATTCTGGGAAAATCTAAAGTTGCATATCTGCATGCAAATTAAGGTGGAGAGTTCATTTCTCCAAAAGAAGCCACTGTCTCAGAAAGATGACAAACCATGCTTTCTACTTTCTAAGCTTTTCTGGGATATCTGGATGGGAGCCCAGCTACTCTTGGAAAATCTCTAGTTACTGCTTTGCTCTAAGAGCATGGTGGCCAAGAAATGCCTTCGCCATGTGATGATTTATAGTATGCAGACAGGCTCTCTCCAGGGAAGGCCAGGAGCACTACAGAAGACCTGTCCAAGAGACAAACTCAGTGGTACTGTCCCTGTGCTACTCATACACATGAGGAGATCCTGAAGAAGATATCCTTTCCCCATCCCATGCCAAAAGAGTACTGTTTTTCTCCCTGGGGAAAAAAAAATCAGGAGAACCAGGTTCAGTAAGTTCCATACCAATGTAGATAGTCTGAATATCTTTGGACAAAAGCTCATTAAACAAACAACAAACAATAGCAGGTTTGGGGGCTAGACTCCAGATAACTGCTTCAATTTTCCTTTTTGCATTGCCTTTGAGGACATAAAGTGTTGTTGTTGGGTTTTTTTTTTAATACCTCTGGTTTTCAATTATTCCTTTCCTTTTTCCTCCCATTTAAATGTGTGGTCCTGAGAAAAGTGAAATGATTCTCACCAGATAGAGCCAAGAGCAGTATCAGTCCCATCGTTAAAGCTCCCCCCACTCCCACCCCCCCAGCTCCACGTCTGACATGCATGAACATTTCTCAGAGGTGTGTACTTAATTCAGACCACTGACTGTGGTGCTGAATTGTGCGGAGGTTTCAGAAAGTGTCTAGATGTCCAACAGCAAATGATAATGAAAAGTGGTTTTATAACAGCCCCAAACAGCTAAATTCCAGCTATGTATAAGCGTATGCCTAATCAAAACATTTTACAGAAACACAAGATCCGAGTTCAATATAGGAATAATGAATATTAATGGAAAGTTCCTCTTTAATCAGTTTTGTGCTAATAGAATCTCTAAACCAACTGCATTTTGGAGGGAGGAGTTTTGAATTCCTTATATGTATACACACACACACACACACACACACACAGAGTATTTATATTTCAATAAATGTTCAAAATAACAAGGATACTGCAAAGTTGTTTCAGTTCATTTACAGTTTGTAATGTCACTCATGCCTAACATCAAAGAAAGACAGATCTGTCAAAATCCTTTATACATCTTGAATTCCCACATGAATGTTTTCCCAAGGCTATTATTGCTATCTCTTTCTCTATTGCTCTAATTCTACTGTGCAGTTTCCACTAGATGGGACTGTATTGCTTTTACAAAAGGAGCATTTTGTGTGGGTCTTAACACTTTAACTGTTAGGAAAATTTAATCTAAAGGAACTTTAAGGCTAGATGTATTAAAACACTGAATTCAATATGGTTTGTCGTGTAGATAAGTTGCTTACAATAGACCACACAGTTACTAGAATACCAAGTAGCGTAATTGTATAAATGTCCATGTTTTCATATTTGCTTTAAAAACTCCCAACACAAAACAGAAGTACACTTCATTGGGGTCAAAAGAGCAGACTAGATAAATCTCTCTCTCTCTCTCTCTCTCTCTCTCTCTCTCTCTCTCTCTCTCTCTCTCTCTCTCTCTCTCTTTCTCTCTCAGCAAATAATTTTTCCTTTCCCACAATATTTTACTGAAGCTGCTCAAGAGACTTCAATTTACTTGGTTGCTTTTAATTTTCATTTGTTTCCCTGGCACATAGTACTGCTGAAAGTATGAAAAGCAATGATTAAAAAACCAACCAAACAAACAAAACCAAAAGCCAAAAGAAAAAGAGAAGTAATCAGCAGGCAATTCAATTAAGATTGGGCTAAGGTAATAGTAATTGCTGGTGGGATGGACTGTTAGTATTAGAAACACATATAAGGTCCTTACTTAATAGTTAGAAATTGGGACAGCATAGCAGACAAAAATAATCTCTTACTTCAGAGACATTGTAGATATAATTTATCTTCTATGATGTATTTAGTCATGATGGATAGTTAGAACTATTGGGCAAACTGTTGACACACACATTCACATGCACATAAAGAAATTACATATACTCAGCACTTTGAAATCATCAGTGATTAAAATAAAAATCACAATTAATGTGTTTGATTTCAAAAACAGGATCTGGACATCTAAAACCAGTATACTACTACTAGTACTAGTACAACAACAGCAACAACTACTACTACTACTACTACTACAAATGGGTCCGAATAAATAATGTGATAATCACTGAATACTGCTGAGTCTACATTAACATGAAGTTAAATAAACAGATGAAGGGGAAAGCTGCAGGTACAAAAGTATTTTCACTCAGTCAAAATTGATGCTAAATTGTAACAGTATTCATACAGATACGCTTGGGGGTAAGAAGAAAGGGTGGGTTAAGTATAATATAATGCCCATTTCAGGGTTTCTGCACTATATAATTTCAAAAAGAAATGCTGATATTTTTAATTACAGAATTTTTTTTATGAAATATGTCTTTTCTGATGCTAGTTTGCAATTGGTGGACAAAAACAGCTTCTACATGTTCTCAGAATAGGATGTGACACAAGAGAATATTTAGATAGGCAAATGGAAAATTGTGATTTTTTTTAAAGTACATTTAAAATTTACAACTAATATCACTTTTAATATCTTAGTTGAAAATTCTGAAAAAGCCAGATGATTTTATCACTCTACACCCAAATTTAAGCACTAATAAATGCAGTCCTACCTCATCATGGTTTGTGATGACCTGGTTCCTTGAAATCTATGGGAAGCAGAAGCCCTGAAAGGTTTTACCAAGCTAGAAAAGCTTTGGGTACAAGCCATGAATTGATTATAGGTATCTGTCATTACAGGACCAGACCAATTAGTTTTGGAGAAGACTATGATCGTCAGGTTGGCCACCAAGGGGTGAGGGTTTTTTGTTTTGATTTGTTTTGGATTTGGTTTTAGTCAAGGCAACTCACGAAGCATGGAGGAGTTGCCATATGTACCTGTGGAGGGTGCATTCATACCACACAACCAAGATCCTTGAAATGTCATTTAAAGTAAGCAGATGAAGTATTTAAATGGTGGAGTTTTCCATCAAAGCACACATTGTTGCCGTTAAAACTTGGTCCAGAAGGAGTCATCCTAGGCTATCTATAAAGGTATCTCACTTTCATCATTCACTTATTCAGATTATAATGAATGCTACCTAATTGAAAAGAAATCCGTCACACTCAAATTACCAGCTCATCCAAATATTTAGATTTTCCATGCATGGGACAAGTCCCCAACCTCACCACCAAATGGTATTAAAAGTTACATGGTGATGTGCATACAAAGAATTTAATTGTTACTAGATTCCATAATTGGCCCATGACAATAGATATTGATTCAAGTAGCCAGATTATTAATACTGGTTTACCCAAAGCAAACAGCACTGGCACTAGCTGTATTGACTACTTACTTCTACAATATTTTATAGAATTGCAGCATGGTTGTGAGAACCATGTTGAGCGTGACTTGTAATTAAACAGATCTAGCTTCAGAGCCATGCGATCAGCAGAGACCTCAAAGAATTGGCTCTTCCAATCAGGCCACCATATAGATGGCCTGAACCAATTGGTTTCCTTAAAGTTCTGCTGTTGTGGGTATAGGCAGAGCCAAAATTTCACTGCTCTGCCTGGGGATTTCTTCCCTTGATATTTGTCAACATTCATGGAAATGATGCTCACAAACCCACCATCAAGTCACGATACAATTGATATTGCTTTCCTCATCAAATTACTCTGATAAAAATCTTGCTCTCTGAAAATAAATATCCTAGTTTTATTGCATTTTAATGTTCTTTTTAGTAGATGGATAGTAAACTATTTACACTTCACCTTTTATGAAGGGTTACATGATGGTTTGGAAATTCCCATCCTATGGAACATACAATCTGATTTGTATATGCATTCATAAATTAAATCAACCATTAAGACGGAAGACCACAGTTCAAATGCATTTTTGCATGGAACTTCAAACCAGAAACATTCAGTCTATAGTATTCAAAATTCTAACAAAAATTTTAAAACTGGAAATCACTGTTGGTACATTTATAGCTGTATACAGAAAAGAAAATTACTATAGATATGTCCCACAATGCCCATCACATCAATGTCTTTATCTTCATATGATAATTTTTTTCTATTTCCATTAGTTGATTTTCTCACATTGTCCTTTTCATACCACAAGGGAAAAAATCTGACTACTGAAATAGCTGGATCAAATCAATCTTGTATCAACTACAAGCCCAAAGTGGACTCACATTTAATTTTAGAAGAAAATTGTCAAAGTACACCTCTGTTCTGTCTTATCATCTATACTTAAGTGTGAATATCTGGATAGAGGGGTCCAGTTAATAATGACAACCATGCCGATTTTCTGTAACACATTAATTAAAAATTAATTCTCAGTGGATGGTAGTTACCAAGATTAAGATTTTTTTAAACTGAGCCATAGTTTTAAAATGTAATCTGGTAGCTTATAATTGTGTTTATGATCATGAAATCAGGTCACAATGATATATACTTCTCTTTCCTCCTTTTGTTGGTTTAAAAGATTTTTCCCCTTTTCACTCATGCAGGATTGAGAATTTATTTTGATCATATAAACAATTCTAGAAAAGATCTTTAAGTCTCTCTTTTTCTCCTTTTCTGTATTGATAAAGTTCATTTAAAGATGAGGTGACAACTGAGATATTAGTTTAGACTACTTTAGAGTAGATCATGGCATCTACTCTTCCTTTTCCACTCCCTTCCCAGAAACCAAACAAAAATCCTGAGCACAGTACAAAATCCTAAACATGACAAGAAAGGTGAATAAAAACACTGATTATTTTGAAACCCACTTTCTCCAGCCACTTAACTCTTCTAGATTAATGAGGTTTTTCTTTGACAAATGTTAAGTGCTTCCCGTGGGTTAAGCTGAATCCAACATACAGAATTTAATAAGAGCATCTAACCAACAATTACAGGGTGAGCATGTTTGGAAAAGACAGTGTTAAGCGACCAGCTTTCTCCTAAGCTGTGTATCATCACACATCACTGGGCGACCTGGCTCTCTGGGAGAGGTTGGAAGGGATGCAGCTGCAACAAATAAGCCAGAGAGCTTTCTGTATTTCTTGATTTCGAAAGGCATATATCACAGGATTGATGATGGAATTGTAGGTAGCTGGAAGAAGGGTAGCATAAGTGTATATAGAGGGATAGGTATAATCTGCTATCAAAGAATAGAGGGTGAAAGGCATCCAGCAAGCAGCAAAGGTCCCTAAAATGATAGCCAGAGTAGAGACTCCTTTCCGGGTGGTCACATAGTGCGATGTGGCCAGGAAATGGTGCTGCAAGGCAATCTGATGGGCGTGCCTCATCACAATCTTACAGATCTGGATGTATAGCTGGAGCATGAGAGCAAACATGAGCAGGAAGGAGACAGAGAGTATAGCAGCATTATTCTTAGTGAGAGGTCTGATCACACTGCAAGTGGATTCGTCTTTGAGGCAGTTCCAGCCCATAACAGGCAGCAGTCCGAGACAGATAGAAGCTCCCCAGAGCATTATAAGCATGATATAGGTAAATGTGACAGTCCTTTCAGAATTGTAAGTCAAAGCATAATACAGCGAGAGGTAACGATCAACAGTGATAGCCAGCAAGCTGCAGACAGAGGCTGAGAAAGAGGCGACAATCAGTCCTATCGTGACCAGCTTGGTGGCTTCTGACTGAAGCAGGTAGGCAAAAATAAAATTGATGATCAATCCAATCCCTGCCAATAGGTCTGCGAGTGCCAGGCTGCCTATCAGGAGAAACATGGGTGCACGCAGGCTGGGGTTATGGAAAATTATAAGGACCACAATGGCATTTTCGCAGGAGATGAGGGTTCCTGAAGTACACAAAACAATGTCCCAGGGGTTTACTATGAGCTCTGGCTCTGGTTCTATGACGGGAATCAGGGAGGAAACTGCAGCTGAGACATTCTCCGGAGAACTGGTATCTAAATGATCCTGAGGAAGCCAGCTTAAATTAACCTTCAGGTCTTCATTCATTTTAACCCCTGTCTTCTTCAATGAAAAGACATGGTTTTTAATGTTCAAGTATAGCAAGATGGAAACTTAAGATCATGCAAGAAACAACCACCAAAACCCCCAACCTGGTAATTGCTCCCCCCAAACAAACAAAACCTCTCCAAGCCAAACACTATTGTTCTGACTCTGCAGGTATTTATCACACATATCAGGGTGTACTGCTAACTGATTTGCAAATCTTAAAATAATGCAAAAGAAAAAGTCAAAAGATATTTTCTCTCTCTCTCTCTCTCTCTCTCTCTCTCTCTCTCTCTCTCTCTCTCTCTCTCTCTCTCTCTCTCTCTCTCTCTCTCTCTTAAATTCCATCCATCGGTGGGAAAAATACAGGCGAGCATATGGGGAATGAAAACAGTGTGAATGATGGATTTGCACATGGAACGATCTGCAATCGTTACAGAGCTGTTGGGAATGCAAATATTCAAAAGCACATCTTACATTCTGCAAATGAACAACTGTTTGAATTCTGGGATGATGCAGTCCCACAGGACAGCCTACAAGTCATGTAAGCAAAGAGTGTCATGCCATTTTTCCTACAAAGCCTTCAAAAAATAGGGCTTTTCTATTCAACCCTTCCCTCTTTCCCAAAAACGTCCTCCTCACCCACAGATTGGGGGGAACCCCAAATCTTCATTCAACAGGAAACGCGGGGCAGCAGCTATTCCTAAGTCCTAGGATGGCAACAAAAGGCAGAACGAAAGTGTGAAAATGTGGAGATGTTCATGCATTGAGTGGCCCCTTTCCCAACCTCAGCCCAGTGATAGGAGGCAGACAGTGGGGCAGAAGACACTGAGCAGTGGATGGGAGGAATGAGGTTAGGGAAGGAGGGATAGCAAGGTAGTCACCTTGACTTCTCCTGATGGAGAGTCCTTGGCTTCTTCCTAAATAGAGCAGGTTTCCTCTGGCATGGTCATCTCCCCGAATGCAAGGCGGATCTGTTTTCCGGCTCTGGAGTTTGCTGGGAGTGCAGAAGGGACGGGAAGGGGGGGGAGGGGGGAGAGAAAGGAAGGGGGGAGGGAGGGAGAAGGAGGAGGAAGAGGAAGAAGAGGAGGAGGCAGCAGTGGCAGCAGCAGCAGTGGCAACAGCAGAGACACTGACTGCAGCTGGTAAAAAAAAAATATATATTCTGCGCTTGTGCTACTCTCTGGCGTCTTGAGGTTTGGTAAAGGGTCCGCGGCGTGCGCCTGTCATGAACACACAATCCTCCCCCCTACACGCACACACACACACACACACACACACACACACACACACACGCACGCACACACACACGCACGCACACACACAGGCGTGCACCACGCACACACGTGCGCACCCCCCACTTCCCCTCCCTCTTTCACGGCGTCCCTTGGCCCACAGATGGGGATGGTGGTGGTGGAGGTTGAGGATGTGGGGGGGAGCGGCAATCGCCAACCAGTTAACACATATCCCTGGGCTTTGTGGGCTGAGAGCTCGGCGGGGGACGCGCCGCTAGGACCCAGATTGCTCCCCAACTCCCACACTCGTCTCCGACCGCTTAGCCCTAGGGCTAGCAGACTCCGGAGGAAATGCTCAGCTTTCTGACCCACACTGACCTTCGCCGGTGTCAGAGATTTGCAGTGTCACACCATGGAGTTCAGCTTGGTCCCCCCCCTTCAGCCCCCCTACTCCCAACAATCAGGATGAGAGAAGAAAGCTGCTCATATTCTGGTCGCCCTGGAACTCAAGGTTCATGTTGCCTGAATGAAGAATCCTAGTTCCAAGTGAATCTGGGCACCCAATGCTTCCCCTAAATTGCTGCAGAAAGACCATTTCGGCAGGGATGGGGAGGGTGAGGAATGCGATTTCCACAACAGCAAAATGTACAAATAACTATTTAGTATTGACTTGGTCATATTGCCCTTTTATTAGGATTTCCCCCGTGTCCTTTGGCTAGTTAGATCGCGGTATGTGAATCGTCATTACCATCATAAAATTGCTTTTATTAAGTGCTCATATGTACTGGGCTTCCTAACAGGAGTCAGTTACAGTGTTGATGCAAAACTCCCTTGAGCTGCTAGCCAAATATCCAATCTCCCAGGCACTAAAATAGCACGACTCTATTTTATTTATTATCATTCTTCTTAAAAAAAATTACTATATAGACAGTCAAGCGCCCGATAACCACCTGCTTCCATACGCCTGCCTCTCTGCTACACAAAGAAGGCTCTCTTTGAACAGGGAGCTAACCTGCAAAAAAAGCCCAGCATCTTGGAGTCAAGAACACAAAACTTGGATGCAAGGGATGGGGGGAAGCAAAACAGGTTACATATCTAGTTCCAGCCTTTAATCACCCCTCCCCAATATTGCAACAGAGAAAAAAAAAAGGTGGGGCAGCTAGGTGGTGCAGTGGATAGAACACCCGCCATGAAGTCAGGAGAACCTGAGTTCAAATCTGGCCTCATATCAAACACTTGACACTTACTAGCTGTGTGACCCTGGGCAAGTCACTTAACCCCAATTGCCTAAAAATTGAAAAAAAAAAGGAAAAAAAAACCAGGTAGAGATAAGCATTTATATAGTAGGTTCTGTTATTATCTCTATTTTACAGTTGAGGAAACTGAGACTAAGTGACTTGCCTAGAGTCACTTAGCTAGTAATTGTTAGAGGCTGAATTTGAACTTAGCTCTTCCTCCCTCCAGGCTCAGCACTTTATCCAATGGGCCACCTCACCTGTAAATTATCTTCTGCCTCAAGTATGTCCTCACTTCAACCTATTCTCCATGCAGCTTCTCAAATTCATATTCCTAAAACAAAGGTCTAACTATGTCAATCCCCTGCCTGGGAAGTTCTTGCCTCTCTAACAAAATACATTCCTGCTTTCGGTCTTCCAAAACCCTTCAGCTCCAACCTCCCTTTCAAGTTTATTGCATATTACACATGTGTAATTACTACATGTGTATTCACCAAACTGCATCCGTGACATTATATCTCTTCCCTCTATGTCTTTGCACAGGCTGCTCCCCATGCCTGGAAATAAAAGAGGTCCCACTTTTCTTTTTTCAGCTAGGAAATTGGGTTAAGTGACTTGCCCAGGGTCACACAGCTAGTAAGTGTCAAGTGTCTGAGGCCAAATTTGAACTCAGGTCCTCCTGACTCTGGAGCAGGTGCTCTATCCACCGTGCCACCTAGTTGCCCCTGAGGTCCCACTTTTCTCTGCAGCCTCACAGAATCCCTAGGTTCCTTCAGGTAAAGCGCTGTCTTCTTCAAGACAGCTATCTTGACCCAACCTGCTCTCTCTTTCAGTTGCTACCACCCTCCCGAAGTTACTTTGTATATGTTTTATATATTTATGTATATATTTAATTCCTCTGTACTTGCTGCTTTTCTCCAAAAGAATGTAAGCTACTTGAGAGCAGGGACTGTGTTGTTTCTATCTCCAATAGTGAGCACAGTGCCTGACTCTGTGCTTAATAAATACTTGTTGAATCAAATTGGATTTTACCTTCTCTTTGTATAACTTGTCTTTGTGTAACTTTGTATTGCTAATATTTATAAAGCCTTTAGTATATGCCAGACATTGTGCTAAGCACTTTACAAATGTATCTCATTTGATCCTCACAACAACCCTGGGAGGTAGGTGCTATTATTAACCCCCATTTTACAGATGGGGAAACTGAGGCAAACAGAGGTTTGTTTTTGTTTGTTTTGTTTTTTGATTGTTTTTTTTAATGACTTACTCAGAGTCACCCAGCTAGTAAATGTCTGAGGCTAAATTGGGACTCAGATCTTCCTGAGTCCAGGTCCAGCACCCTATCCACTGTGCCACCTAGCTGCCTTTGTTCAACCTTAATTTCTCTTTTTTTTGAAATGATCTCACTTATCTGGCCAAACTAATACTTGTAATAAATTCATTATCTTTCCCAGAACCAGGCCTCTACCTCTATTCCCGGATAACATCTCTAAATAACGTTGGACCCTGCCCTTCCCAAACATGCCATTGCCATATAGCACCCCTCTCCTTTTGTAGTAACACCGTTGTGTTTTGGCTTCCTCTTTAAAATACTGACTTGCTCCAGTGAGAGTCCGGTTGAAATCATGTAATATAAATTTATAGTTGGCATAATTTAATGACTTTCTCCAGCTCTGTTCAGTAGCACATGAATAGGAGCAAAGAGGAAATGATGGGAATAATTCACAGTTGGGGTTTGGAAAAGCATGACAAGGGGACAAGAAATTCAGGTATAGAGGATAGTGTAGAAGTACATTGATTCACCAACCTATTGAAATAGAGAAGGAGGAGAGTTCAGTCAATGTGGGGAGATGACCTGGGAAAGAACTGAGGGGCAAAGGGATTAGAGCTCATTGTGAGGCTAAAAGAACAGGGCTAATGGTCATGTAATAGAGAAGATGGAATGACAAAAGGTTAGGATCAGATAAAGGAATTTCAAAGTTCATGAACATAGACATGGAACATACCTGGATGACGGCAAGATCAAGGGTGTGACTATTTCTGTTTGTAGCTGAGGTAGAATAGAAGCCTACATCCTGAGAATTGAGTACATTTAGAAATTAGGAAATTAGGATATTTGAAGGAGTATCAATATGTGTGTTGAAGTCTCTCAATATGAGGGCAGTAGTTGCAGGGGAGAAAAAAAGACTACTATCCAGCCACTTAACTCATGGAGGAAAGACAGAAAATGTTCTGGGGGTCATGGCTACCAGAATTTGGATTGGTTGATAAATTTGAATATATGAACTTCAAAGGAAGAGAGTTTGCTGGAAAATGGTGGTATAGAGAGAATCTGGAAATGGTGAGAGCAAGAACAATTTGCTTAAACTAGAAAGTACTGATATCAAGGAAGCATAAAACACAGGAAATACAATTATCATCACCAGCTGTATTCTTCCATGCCTCCTGTTCCCAACCTTCAGGTTACTAGGCCTATGATTTATGGAGTTCTAGTCCAATGGCTGGCCAAATTAGAGCCATTTTTAATCTATGGACTGAATGGTGTAGGTGTGATGCCTGGGCTGGCAGCATTACTTGCCACTGGACAGGTAAGTCGCCTAAGGTCCTGCAATTGGTGTATCCCACATGAAGGATGGGGGTCTCAAATGCTACATGACAGCATTGAGTCCCCAGGTCCGGAAGTGGTGGAAATGAGAAAAGCCTCACCAATATGCCCTTCTCTCTATCTTTGGGAATGTTGTATAGGACTAGTCAATAAGGGTTCAGTCTAGAGATCAGGCACATTCAGGGAGCCTGCTTTTGGAAGTGCCTAATAATACAGAATGGAGATACCTGGCTCTTCATTTGGGAGCTTATGCAGGTGTTCTGTAGTACTTTCCTGTGTTAATCTTTTGCTTGGCTGCTAAACTAGAACTGAGTGGATATGCAAAAGATTCCTACAGGGTCTACTTGCCCGCTCTCTTATTATTGGTGAGACAGGGAATAACTGATATAAACCTCTTGGGCAGGAAGAAGGGGTAATAGTGCTAGTAGCTTATTCACTCTCTTTGGGTAAATATAAAGCCACGGGCACATAGCCTTGCTACTGCACCTGTCCCTGTTGAGTCTATTCTTTCCTGATGAAGGAGCATCAGAGGTGAAGTGGAATTCTCTCATTGGCTAATCTATTGTTTTAGCAGAAATGGGAAAATAACAACAACTTCAAGACCTTGGCTAGCAATGAAGCTTACAAAATACTCTGGCCACAGCAATCATTCCTTTCTCTCTACTTCTATTGTTCTCTGTATCTTAACCTTTGCAATTCTTGCTCCTGTGTTTTTGGGTGAGCTCCTACAACCCTGATTAGACATATAGAACATGATATATGACAGCTGAAGCTATGGAGTAAGCTTCCATCAGTGGCAGCTGCTATGAAATGGAGCTCAGAGAAATGGGATCAGGGTGGAACTTAACTATTTGGAAATATTCCTTACATACAACATAAAATCATCTTATTTCCCAAGATAACTTAAGCTCAATTCTCTAATAGTTTTTTCTAGAGCCCCAGACTTGAAAAGTGACTAGAGAGG